TTTTTTCGGTATAGAACAATCCTAGGGGGTGAGAGCATTAAATTTCCGATTTTACTTTTCTCCCATACATGTTTGGACCACCCTACTGTGCAATCGTCATCGTTAAACTGCTGCAGTCATCACAAGCAAATATTTGAGCAGCAGTAGCAGCAGCTACAGGCACTTATATGCACCGCAATTGCCACAGCGCAACAGCTTGCAACTGCAGGTGACGGCAAAGAAATTAATTCAAGTTGCTGCCTCGCGGTTGTTATTCGCTACAGCGGAAGTGCGGATTTTCTCACTAAAAACGACGACGACGGAGAAATAATCGTTGCACTCGCTGCCTTTGATTGCTTCGATGGGGTGGTGCGGGAAATGAAATATGTACGCATTTAAGTGCTTCTGAGTCGGATTGACACTGCGCTTGTTGAGATGTCTTTGAGCGCGTACTAACATACTTATCACACTAGCAGTCTCAGCAGCCAGTCAACGTTGTGGTTGTGGCAAATTGCTTTAAATAAATTCCACAAACGTAATGTTCGTGGCTGTAAATAAATGTCATTATGACACGCAAAGCACTGACGCTGCAGGCCACACGCACAAGTGCTGCTTGAATTTAGGGCTCCCCGACCTCTTACATAACTACCGAAAATTTCAGGAATTTTTATTTTAAATAGATTTTGGTAAGCGCAAACGCTCGCGGTGGAATTTTCCTGTGCGATTAAAAGCATTTTGTTCTATTTTGGGGGAAAGTTGATTTATTAGAGGAGTAGTGCTGAGTAAGTGAGCGAACGTGATGGATTAAATAATTCAGAGTAGCAATAAAGCTGGAAAACATACAGAAGTACATAAGTGTATGTATGTATGTACGAATTGTAGCAAACATTTTTGAATACCTACCATGACGGAAGCAAGTGAATTTTTTAAATAAACTAATTAAAATCCTACTTTAAAACAATTGTAAAGAGTAAATGTTTCGAATTTTGATACGCTTTTTTTATTCAACGAAACAATTTGTGTCTTGAAAGAACATATGAAAAAGCATATGTGAAGTGCAAGCATGTTCAAAAGAAATATACGGACTTTGAAGTTGTTTAAACCAAATTCATTTTAAGGTAGTTTAAATTAAATGCAGAGTCGGACACACGACTTGCTGCTTGCAGACAATTTAAACTGAACATTTGAAAGCACAGTTACATGTCTGGCTGTAGCTGCGGATGTAGCGGATTTTCTTAGTTTTGAAAAAGCAAATTCATTTTAAGGTTATTAAAAATACATGCAGGAAAAGGCAATTGACTGCCTTCTAGGATATCGACATGTTAAATAAATGAGTTGTTGCAGGTATAATAGTGAGAATTTTAATTAGTTATCATTGAAAATAAGGTAGTTTATAAATTACTTTGAAATTAATTAAATTTCCTGCAGGGTATGTACAATAACGATGCATGTACCTATATGTGTGTGCATGTGAATGCACAGTGGGTGTGGCTTAAATTAATTTTGAAACTGATTTAATCTAAAGTTTGCCATATAAACTTTGATTACCTGAGTTCGGGCTGTTACTTATTAAGCATAGTTGGTATGCGACGAGAAGTGTGCATGCTTTTATTGTGAAATTCTATTGCTGTTGCTTTTCGGTATTCAACTTTTTCATTAAATATGTTTTAAACTAGAAATAAACTCGTATAATGAATACGTAGAATGTATAGTAAATTAGCAGCTGCTACAATAGATGACCATTAGGGTGGTCCTTAAGTGTAGAGAGCAAATTTTTATATCAGATTTCCTAAGCCTCAATCCCTACGTCGATGTTAATATAGTCGAAGATATCACATATAAATTTTGGTCCCGATTGAAGTCGGTTAAGGAGCGCCACACTGGGTTCAAAGTTCAGATTACCCGACTTCAAGCGGGACTAAAATCTATATGTGATTTCCTCGACTTTAGTAGTATCGATTTTTGGCATTAAATGAAAAAACATATTTGTAATTCTTTGAATCGCTAGAGACATCTGGCATTTGACCCCTGTGCGACACGCCTTTATCGACTCCAATCGGGACAAAAATTTATATGTGATATCATCGATTATGGTAGTATCGATTTTGGGTATTAGATACAAAAAATTAATTTTACTTTTTTGAGTCTCCATAGAGGAATCTGTGCGACACGCCTTAACCGTCTCCAATGGGGAGCAAAATTTATATGTGATATCTATGACAGTGGTGTTACC